CTTTTTCTTGTTTTTTTAGATTATCATATTGTTTTTTATAAGCTTTTGATTGTTGTATGAGATTATAAGGTATAGCACCTCCATATTTTGATATTTGAGTTTTTTTTTCACGCCATTTTTTATAAACAAATTCTGAATTTCTTTTAGCTTTTTGCCAGTTATCATATAAAATTTGTTCTGACATTTTTTAAGTAAAACAGTTTTAAAAAACAGTTTTTAAAAAAAAATAACTGAAGTATATTCTCATAACGAAAATAAAAGAAATCATGTTTAAATAATTTAAAAAAAATTTAATCTTTTTATTTAACTATATAAATATATTTTGATGGCTAACAATTGTGTATATAAATAAAACAAGATTTTAAATCGTACAATAAAATTCATGAATATTAACTAAATTAAGAAAATATGATCAACTGATTTATGATAATTAGAATATTCTTTGTTCTAAATTTAGATTAGATTTTATTTATTTATATACCACTTATCATCTCCTTTTTTATTTCTTAGACGATGCTAAAATTTTTCTGTGTAAACAGTTTTTGTAAGCAAAAAAAATCTTTTTTTTTTAAAGAAACATGAGTAATTTTTCAAGTGTAAAGAAGTATCAAGTCAAAAAAAATATTAAGATATGAATATTTTTCTACTAAGTATTGCTTGAATATGTGTATTCTTAAATATAAGTTACGCTGCTAGTTGAGTGAGATTTTATGTCTGGGTTCCCGGTAAAATAGTCGCCTAGTGTAAATTTAAGAATTTAAGAAATGGGGCAAGGACTTACCGTTCCCGCTTAAAGGCATTATGACTTCACGATGTACTTATATTTTTTTATTTTTTTTTAGGAAAAAAAAATTACTGAACTGTGTCAAGAATATAAAAAAAACATAATGAAATTATTAAATAATGAAGGTTTTTCTTGTAGAAGTTATGAAAATGAGGATGAAATATTCTATTCAGATCGTGATAAATATCTTGTTGCTGATTACGAAGATTTCAAAATTTTTATTTGTTGTAAGTTTAGAAGTATAAAAAATATAGGGTTTAATGATATTGAACGTATAAATGGATTTATTAAAGCATATCATCCTGATGATAGTGGTGTGATTGTAACTAACAAAAATTATTCAGAAAATTCATATGATCAGGCAAGAAAAATGAAAATTTTAGTATGTCAATCAAGAAATATAGTTAAAAATATTAAAAAAGAGATCG